AAAGAGGTCTGGTTTCAATAATTCTTGTGACAAAAGAACCATCACAGGTTTCTGAGTAGTCTCAGTAATGTGTACTGTAGAAAGAGATACTTAAACAAAATGAAAACTTAACTATGGAATCTCACCAGGAGAAATGTTTTCTTTCTTCCTATRGGCATGACTATCAAACACAGGTGAGTGCTAAGAGAACTTCAGCTGCAATGGATGGAGAGTTTCCAGGCACAAAGGACACCAGGGGTATATATTTAAAACAGAATCAAAATGTGAGAAGGGAAAAAAAACACTGATTTTAGAAGCTTCTATTTACTTCTAAAAATGTATCAAACCATGCAAAAACATGAGGATTTCTTAAGTCTCTAGATAAATAATACTGACTCACATTAGCCTGTGATAAAGAACGTATCAAAATAGGCCACAAATAGCACCTAACACCAATAAAGGTAATCAGCAAAAGACATAAAATCCTGTCTTTCTRTAATTGAGTTTCCGGGCTCCCTCAGGGTCTCTCTGGAATCTGGCATTCTCCCCAGGACCTTATTACATGTCAGAGAGTTACCTGACTAGCACTGGCCACAGGAAGACACATCTTCCAGGAAAAACACCTGCTAATATAAGGTTCCCAAAACAACCCTGGTTACTCTTTGGCTGCATTTGTTTGAGTAAATTAAAAATCCTCTGAGTTGGTCTCTGGCAATGGGGCCAACTCGCCTGGGACAGACTCTATCCAGRCTCCAGCATAGATCTATCCAGACCTAATGTGCCTTTTGGGAATGTGAGCTCATGTTAGCTTTGAATCTATGCCAAGGATCCCAGGATTAGCCTGGGAGAGAGAATCCAAGGCTGTATGGGGGATCAATAGACCTGTTTAGCAGAATTAAGTTCCTGTACACGTACCTGGAACTTGCCACTGTTCACTTCAAAAAATTAGGTAGTATATGGGCAACTTTTAACCACTCTTAAGCTATCTAGGTGCTCCAAGAATGCTTCAGAGTCACAGTTTCATGGATCACAAACATAGATGAATGGAATGTTTTATGGTTTTATGGCTCTCCCTGGTTCAGTCTTATTGCTAGATTAAAACTTAATGTATTTCTTCAAAAACTCAGATCTGCAAAAATAGTATAAAATTTCAGTTGAACTAATTTATTATCAAAATTGCATTATATATCAGATTGTCTCAACTCTTTCAACATTTCAAATAGCTTCTAAAGATAATAAAATATTCCAGAACACGTCCCTGGAATGACCTACACTATCCTTACGCAATGAAATACTGAGACCAGCCTGTGGGTACCAGGTATAAGCCCAAGTTCCCCATGAGCAACATCTCTTCTTCCTCAAGGCGAGGAAACAAAACCAAGACAGATAATGGGAAGAGACTTTTCATTCTTTTATATCTGATCTACTTAACCATGATAACCATATGGAATTAGGAAACTTCTAACTTCCCGTGGTGATGCTATAACAGTTACATTAGCAAGCTTGAACTTCTCTTATATCACTTTTTGTGAAATGTCTATCCATACCTTCCCACTTCTTGCCTCACATGATTTCTATATATCCTCTGAGGTGCAGGAAAGCTAAATTCCTTCTCCCGGCTGCATCATAAGCACTTGCAGAAGTATCACTTATTTTGCAGAATTTGTTAGTTGTTTTAGTCTAGGTGGAGTAAGATTTTCCGTAACTTTTCAGTTTTAAGAATGTTCTAGGAGCATGATTCTTCATTGTGATAGTGCCTGTAGCACCATTTATTACATTTCTTATCATCTCCTTTGACAAAAGGAAATAGCTTTTTTCAGAATAAAGTTTCTATGTCTTAAATAGAATGACATAATCCCTGCATCAGGGTTTGCACAAGTTCTAAAGATAACTGGGAATATTATTCATAGCCACAGGCCAGTATTAACGCAGTCTTTCGGTTGTCCCCAGTTCCCTGGTTAGAGACTGGTGTTTCACAGTTTACGCTGCTTTGCTGGACACATCCACAACGAATATTTCAAAGCTTCTGCTCAGAGTTGAACTTTGTGGTGTGAGAGGAACCAACCGCCACAATGGCAGGTCCTGCTCCACCCAAAACCCTTGTTCATCTCTTGCCCTGCCTCCATTTAACATCCACGACTCTGGTAGAAGCTACCTAGTGCCTTCCAACTAACTGAGAACTTCTCTTAGGGGAGAATTTACCAAGCCCRTGTACGACAGCAGAGCCCAGTGTCAGGAAAAGAAATGAAGGAAAACAGGTTCTCCGCAGGGAAGAAATTCACATCTGTGAGGATTACTGCACCCCTGCTGCTTTAATAACAGCTAGAGCTGACTTCTCTACTTTTCCCAGCCTATAAAAGGAGAATTCTCATTACCTGTGTTACAGAGTCGTACTCTTACACAAACCAATTACTCGGGATGTACTGGGATAGCAAGATTTCTTCCAGTGGAGAAGACAGTATATTTAAATGTCACGAGAATACATATTCYACTCATTTGCCTTGCTGTAATCAGTAACAAAAAGAAATTAGAATAATTATCAACGCCATCATCTCCAATGTCACACAGCAATAGGTTTTTCAGAGCTGGGGAAAGGTTTCATGTCAGAAAGCAGACTGCCATCAGTAACTACATCAAAAAAAAGTTAAAACAAACATCACTTGTAAAATTCTCAGTCACAAATTCAATTCTCAAGTTTTTTCAAGAATTTTACCCTATATTTATTTGTTTAAATGTAAGGATAGCATATCAGTAATAAACATACATTCTAGCTTTCAGGTAATTAAATTTTAAGTAAGCAATAGCATGTCATAATCACAGTAAGCAAAACCTAACACTATTTTGGAAAAAAAATAGCCTTTTTTTTCCCTTGAATCCCCAAATCACTTTTATTCATTTTTATTTGAAATCATATCAGAAACATCTTAGACTAACTTTGAAAGCAAGAAGGCTTTGCTTACTTCAGGGGAAAAAAAAATCTATTTAAAGGCTGCATTTTTCCTCAGAAAAAAATGGAAGCAAATAATATTGGTTCAAATCAATTCAGAATGCACAACAGATGTGAATATTGGAATTCCTTGTATTGCCCCCTGGGAGTTACACGGACTTCTAGTAAATTACATTGTGCTCAGTACAGCATCAGWTTGGGAATTACAAACAATACACCCCAACCTCCTGCTACTAGGCTTATAATAGGAAATATAATTTGCAGTAGATTGTATTTTTCAAAATTATATTATTTTTAGCAAAAGAATCTGTGAAAATCCTTTTTCATTTGCCTTACTTCACGAAGGACAAAAGCCAAATAAATGCTTCACTGGACAAATGAAGGGCACATAAAAGAGCACCAGGTAACCAGCTGCTACAATATATTCCAGAAATACTTCATTTGCTAGTTTTGACTTTTCCTGCCACCTACAAAATGTCTCCACGTTTAACGGTTCTAAGTCAGCCACAGCCACTGCCCAGCTACTTGTTAGTCAGTGTCCTGGAAGGAAAACTGTTCTTCCTTCCTAGGGACTGCCAGACTCGGAGAATGTTTACAGCTTCTGACACACAGTTTACAAAACAAAATTAATTTTTACATGAAATAGGGAGAGCAGAATTTTTTAAAGACTGAATCTATATTTGATCCTAAAAATCAGGAAGCAGGCACTCAAGGTAGGAAACCATTTTCACATCACTATTTAAGCACTAGATATTGAACACTGCTCAAAGTGTTTACTTCCATGTTTAGAAATAAATATAAAAAAAAAAAAAGAACGGGTTTACGAAAAGACTAAGAGTGACAGTGCTTTTAATATCCAAAGAAAATTATTATTTTCAGTCGCAGAAAGTATTTCCCACAAAGCTCAGTGGTTCTTTTATAAAAATAAGAAATGAACATCAGAAAGAGAGAGAAAAGAAAAAACAAATACAGCAAGGATTACAGTTTAGGACTACTGTTCTGACCTAGACGGCCATAATATTGGAAACGGGCAGGGGACATCTTCGATACCTGCTCTGGGAATGACAGGTTTGATTTCTGTGATGTGCCCCTCAGTTATCAGGATAGCAGTAAGGCACTGGGAGGAGGCAGGAGTGACACTGTAGGGCAGAGTTGCCTTGGCAACAAAACAGGCCAAGTTGAGGCCTGAGATGTTAAAGGACTGGATAAAGAGACGCATTCTCGCTCGGTACAGCGGAATGAGAGGTTAACTACAAAAGCCAAACTGTGGTGCTGTAACACAGCGCTCACAAGACTGGACATAGCATCTATACTCCATGGTTTTAAATACCTGAAACTGTAGTATGAACTTATCAGAACTGAAAGATAATCTGTAAATCATTGCATTCATTAAAATAAAAATACACATATTTTGCCTTTTCCATCTTCTTGGAGCTGCAATAATAAAATCTAAAATATTTTTTAAAAGTCCTTTTCTATTGTATTGCTTGCAGCAGTCTACAGGCTCTGAGAAAGATGAAGTTAGTAAGCTGCCCTTTTCCTGCAGACCGCAGTATACTTGACTATGTTCAAGAGAGACCAATACATTTCTTGATGCTTTCTTTCCAAAGTAATATTCTTAAGACAGATGAAAAAAATCCATTTTCATCACTTAAAGCAAATTGCCAGTAAAAACATACTGTGCTTAAGCAAATACATTTTCATGAGAATATTTTTAGGCTCACTGGAAGTATTTTCTTGCAGAGCATTTGCTTTGTTACTGGAAAACAAGTGATGACCGGAGACACTGAGCTTTGCATACTAATGACTGAGAACTAATTGAGATAAGGCACAGTTGCAATAATCTAGGGGCTCAGGCGGCCTCRAGAGAATTCGGAAGCCCTCCCAAGTTCTGTTAGCTTGGCTCTTTCCATGATGCTACACGGCTTCACAGTGCAGAGCCAAGSTCCCAGGAGTGCGTATCAGAGGCAGGCTTCCAGCTGACACACACACACTGACACTGAGCAGAGGCAGGAAAAAACACACATTCCTAGAGGGGAAAAAATATATATATATTAAAAAAAAAACCACTGACCTTTCCAGTCTCTGGTGCTATTCCACAGCAGGCATGAGTGTCRGCAGAGGAGGAGAAGGGAAGTCCTGTCAGGTGGTAGTCATCTATGTTCATCTTTGTGGGAATTAAAGTTCCATTATTTCTCACTACACCTGCAAGGAAGAAACCTATGCTGTGAKTGCTTGCAACACAACTACTGTTTGCTTTGACTGATTGCTGCTTTTTAGATTTGAAAGCCATAGCTTATTTCCAGTGTAGAAGAAACAACTAAAACTAAGTTACATAATCATTTGTACTGAGGAATTTGTATAAACCTTCTGTCCTGTGCTCAGGACTGWAGAGTTAAATTTAATAAATTTAACAGATCTTTCCATCACTTTGCACACAATGTTACAATGYGCAACACCGCCACATTTTCAATCACATTGTAACACTCTACAAAATCTTTACATCTCTAGATCCATTTTGTTAACAGTTTTAAGAGAACTTCTTAATAAAGTGTTCCATTTTGTTAACAATTTTAACAGAGCTTCTTAATAAAGTCTAACTCAAACTCAACTACTTTTGATGACCACTTATCAAGAAGTACTTTAACGAAGATAAAAAGTATTAAACTAAAATGAAACTAAACTGAAATAAAACTAAAAGGTCCAGGAACCCATCACACTCCTAGCTCTGTGACATTATCTCGATATTACCATGCTTTGCTGCAGTTAGGCAGGAAGGAGGTTACTTCTGTGAAAACTCTTGGTTCTTTCCTGAAAAGGGGTAGGAAGGAGGGGAGGGGATAGATGGATCTCATGTGAGGCCTTGGAAAACCCTGTTTTACAGAAGGCTTCATCAGKAGCCAAACCATTCAGGAAGCATCCCTTTCCCATCCCACTCTCGGGAAAGCAGGCTACCTCCCCGAAAGGGGAGCTGAAGCCCGTGAACACGGGGGGCCCCTTGCTGGCGCTGCAAAGCTGGCCAGCCTTCCCGTGCGAGCTCCSGGAGCCGCAGCAGGGCTGCTGGGGCAGAGGTGCCCCAGGGCCGTCGGCAGCTCCRCGCTGCCGGCCAGGAGGGGCGGCCGGAGCCGCAGCAGGGCTGCTGGGGCAGAGGTGCCCCAGGGCCGTCGGCAGCTCCGCGCTGCCGGCCAGGAGGGGCGGCCGGCGCTCGCACGGAGGCGCCGCCGCTCAGCTTGCAAAGCAGACCTGGCCACCGAGAGCAGTCTGTGTGCACCTGCGGGACAGAGAGGAAGCCGAGCTTGCTAAGCGTAAYCACAGAATTTAAAAAGCAAGGCTGTGAACGCACGTAACAGGCCGTGGAGCACCTCTCGCTGCCACCAAGACTCTGCTTATAAGCTCTCCAACAAAACTTGTTTCAGGTACAGACTTTCAAAGTGCCTCAGAGATTTAGATCTCTGCTTGTGACAGTTAGTCCAAATCCTACACGTAAACCTGACTCCTTCTCATTTCCACAGCATAAAGAATACTGCTCCAAGAGAAACTGCATGCAGTCAGACTAAAAAAACTTGTATTTGTACATAGGATTTWATTCTTCTTTCCTAATAATGTCTATGTGCCGAAAAAAAGCCTCTTTCCTAACTTTTCCTAAAGAACTTTTCCTRAAGAAAGTTCTTTCCAAAAGCTAGATACATATTCCCACCTCACTGGCACTCTGAAACCCCAACATCTTGGAAAGGMGGTTTCCTTTCTTTAGGGGTAGTTTGGATACATTTCCTGTGTGTTTCTCTTATCTTTTCAGCTATAAAGCAATGCAAGCAGCTTACAGAGAGAAACAGGGATGCCTGGGGCAAAGATAAAGGAGTTGGCAAAAGTCAGAAATCATCCTAAGGCAGACAAGTGACAGAAGAGTGGGAGGGAAAGAAAGGAGACCACAATCAGAAGGGACAAGACAGACATGAACACATAACATCATACACAACTCAGTTGTAAAAATAAAATAAGATCTGTAAGATCTGTAAGATCTGTAGCATTTTGTGCTAAGTGGTAACATGACAAGGCCCGTTCAACAGAAAAAAATGCACTGTTAATACCCCCAAACTCCTAGTAGCTGAACAAGACAATATGTTTCTGCAGTGCTACAGGAGTAGAACACTGTCTTTTTAATTTTGTGTTTCACACAGCGTGAGCAAACTCAAATAAATTTCTGGTTCTCTCCCTCACAAACTATCTTACACTCTTTATTATGTTCAAATCATCTCATTCTCAGATGGCAAATTAAGACTGAAAAGATTTCTCACATCTGACTAAAATTCATTTCACTTCCCTGCTCTGTTCACAAAAGCAGGAGGGAGATGAGACACTTCGCCTACCACCTTCTACTTCCTTTTAAATGACAAATGAAAYGGGCAAAATCCAGTCAGAGTTACAGCTCCAAAGAGAATGCTTCTGCCATCAGCTGAATCAAGAAAGAAAACATCAACAGCAAACACACTCTTATATGAGCTTTGATATTACACAGATGGTACCACCAGTTAGTAATTAATTTTGATAAAATAAACTCTATTTTTCCACAATCTTGAGAGAGAAAAAATATCATAGGGTAGAGCAGACTTCGTGGATTCCTCTGTGGATATTCTTACAATGAAGAGTCACCATGTACTTTGCTTCACACCAAAAAAAAAAAAAAAAAAAGATCCATACCCTCTGCCTTTGTTTTAAATTTTCTTCACAAAGTGGCTCCCTTACCTACCATGACTGCAACTGGGGCCATAAAACAGCACACCAAAGAATTTATATGAGGGATTTTTTTTTTTTTTTGGCCAAGGGAACAACAATAGAGACTGACCAATATTACCCAGGAACCCAGTCACATTAACCCTTCTGATTACGATTGGCACCGAGTACMGCTGTGAGCCAAACTGATCACACAGGGCTGCCTCCAGTGGCACTGCCACGACTGGCCACRTGGGGAGTTCAGGAAGCCAGGGAGATTGTAGCGGGGAAGCTGCTTTGAACCCAAGCTGGAAGACAAGTAACATTTATATAAACTGAAAGAAAAGTAAATCTTCAACCATTATTGCTCAGCAAGGGTTGTGCTGTACAGTTATTGTTACTGACTCTTACAGATTTTCATTTAAATAAACACAAAAATATTTACTAAAATCACAGGTGGTAATACTGGAAAAGAAGCCACACTCAAAGAAGAGGTCCTTGTCAGGTCAGTATTCTGAGGAATTTGATTTCATTTTRGGACTTCTTTACAAGCCTACTGAAAGTGCCAGGTGGGTAGAAGCATGAGCAATAAAGATATCGATTCTGCAGAATTAATTATAATCTCCTTACACTCTTGGAACAGCATGTAATARTAATAATTTAAGCACATTATGATATATAACCTTGTTAGAGATTTAAAATGCTCATTTATTGAGCCAAGCTGTTAACTCGTTTAGATTATTTTATAAATTTTATAGAAATCTTGATTTTATCAATAAGTGGGAATAAAGATTAATAAAAAGAAGATTGGTAAGCGCTAACTACCAGTTACAGTTCTACTGTGTTCCTTGCCATAATGGCAAATGTTCCTTTGCCACACAAAGATGATTATTTTCAGTTTTCCAAATCATTCCAACCAGAAGTGGTTGGGACTGGACACACAGACCTTTTGTCTTTTGACAGGCAGTGGAAAGTACGAAATCAAAAAATGTTGTYGGAACAGAGGCAGATGATCAGCAGCAAGCTAGAGAGGCGAAGAGGTCACTCAGGCAGCAACAGAGAGGCGGAATAAAACACAAGATGCTTTGAACAAGAATGGAAGAATGTGAATCTACTTTTCTGGGGCAAAAAGGGTCTATTTTAAGACTTGCTTTTGCCATACTGAAAGTTTCCATGGWAGAGAAGAAAACAGCACTGCAGCAGAAAATGATCGTGACCTCCTCTGAGGGCGCAATGTTCCTAGAGAACATGTCAGTGCCGTGAGGCAAATGATGAATCTCCAAGAGGCACCCGATCACCCTGCACTCCACCCAGGAGATCAGGAAAACAGAAAGGAGCATTCACTGCATTTAGGAACTGAGTCTGAATACGTTGTGTTCATCTCAAAAAGCAAAAAAGAATACTCAGAAATGGAAACAATCTTTTTGTGTCTAGACTTCTCTTTTCTCAAAGGGTTTAAAATATGTATGCAAATCCTGATAGCTCTGAGAGAAAGGGCCTGTGGAACATGTATGATATGCCCAGGATTTTCCTTTTCTCCCCAAAACAGGTCTCATTCCTCCTACCTCCTAGGAGCTGCCCTCACCATTCACACGAGGCCCCGAGACACATGCAGATACTGACATGGGTTGCAAGGGCCCAAACTCTGCCAAAGAGCAAAAATTCATCTCTAATATGAGACGAGGCGCACGCAAGTTCTTCAATCTGCTCTCTAGCCCTGTTTAATTTATTGATATAGATACACCATAGAAGACATATATCATACGCTCTGCTCAGGAAAAAAATAAATAAAAAATTCCCATGTGGACAGATTATTCCACGCACGGTCTCAAGGTGAATACAGACAGATGCTACTATCGACATGACCAGTCATTTCTCTTTAACCTTTGTTCTTCCCACATCTCTTTCACTAGCAATGWAGCAAATCTCAAAACAAAGCCCCTTTGTTCACAGTTCTTTTTAATCTTTCCATTGTTCCAATTCATCTGTTTTTCCAACAACCTGGATTTGTCAGATCGCAAAAGATGGAAGACATTTTTTTCCTGAAAGCATCACCCACAGCAAAGTTTTAAGAATATCAGATTTCAGCTCTTTTCTTGCTTGACTTTTACCCCCAGCTACAAGCTGGAGAGGGCCATCCTGGGAGACTGTTGCTTTTTAAATTCCTGAACTTTTTTTTTCGTTTGGATAGAGAATTTTCATGCAACTTCCACCTTGACAAAGCAACCAATTCCCACTTACTACTTTTCCTTCCAAGCCTCACAGTTTCTAGCTTGTGCATTTAAGTCTCCTTTGCGAACATTTTCTATTTTATGAACCCTTTACCCCCTCATCCTCCATTCTTCTATGAAAGAAACTAGTAACTAAAAATTCCCCGAGCCGCATTGTTTAAACTGAGAACTAGGCCCTAGCACAAAGGACTGGCCGCACAGTGTCACTGAATGATGACACTGTACCCACTAGACCACGCTGTCTCC